TTGTGTGAACTAATATAAATTCAAAGTAAACATCATTACATAAAAGGGTACGGTCTTTTTTTTTTTTTTTTAGTTTTATTCATTTCAAACGGGCCGTAGTTTGCCCACGGCTGCCCTAGGTCCATTCCTTTACCTTGGCCTGAGGATGTCACCTATAAAATGAAGAGGGTTGGGCTAAAGCTCCTACTGATTCTATTCTATGCTATCTGCCAAATTTAAGTGAGTGTATGCTATCTGCCAAATTTAAGTGAGTGAAATAAAATCCCACTTGGAAGACTTGATGGAGGATCCTATAATTGCTCATAAAGGGAAAGTCACAATCTCTCACATGAACCTAAATAGAGTCCAAGCATAAGACTGGATCACTTTGGTTCCCAGATAAAATCCCTGACATTTTTTTTCCCCAATCCTCATCAGAGGATATTTTCACATTGATTTTTAGAGAGAGTGGAAGGGAGGAGGAGAGACAGAGAGAGAGAAACATCAATGTGAGAGAGACACATCAATTAGTTGCCTCCCACATGGCCCCAACCAGGGCCTGCAACTGAGGTACATGCCCTTGACCGAATTGAACCTGGAACCCTTCAGTCTGCAGGCCAACGCTCTGCCCACTGAGCCAAACCAGCTAGAGCCTAAATCCCTGACTTCCTTCTAGAGAAGTGGCAGACCTCCACATTGCTAATTAAGTGACAAGTTGGCTGCCTCAGTTCTGAAATCAGAAAATGAATGGGGTCTGGGGAAGAGAGATTAATTTTCTTTGGAACTGGGAAGGATTTAGGGAAAGGCATATTAACAAAGATACACTATTAAAGCTCAATATTTACAAATCCCAAAGAAGCTTTGAAGGATTTAGGGATTTAATCTTTGACTTTTAAGATCAACGTTTCATGGTCAGTCAAAATACCAATGACATTTAAAAACTACAGAGAGCAGTGAGACAGGCACTTACACATTGCTAGTGCAAGTGTAGATTGATAGTCTTTCTAGAAAGCAGTGTGACAAAGTATGTGAAGACTGTTAGCATGTCACTTCTGATCACCTTCTCTGCTCTAGCCCTGATCTGAGCCCCATCTTCTGTTGATGACAGATGTTTACAATGGCTTCTATGCTTCCCCTCTTATAGTCTCTTTTCAACACAGCAATCAAAATGACCCTTTTCAAACATAAGTCAGATCATGTTGTAATTCTGCTCAGTATCTCATGATGACTTCTCATTTCACGCAGAGTGAAAATTGAAGTTCTTACAGCTTATAGGGCCCTACATGAACTAACTTCTACTACTTTATCTACTCTGACTTCTACTACTACCATTGTCCCGCTCGCTTATTCCACTCAGCCACACTGGCCTCCTCGCTGTTCCTCTATGCTCAGAACTGAGGGCCTTTGCACTGACTATTTCCTTTGCAATGCTCTCTTTTCAGCCATCTGCTTGGTTAACTCTATTTCTTCAAGTCTTTGTGAAAATCTTACCTTCTCAATGTGTCTTATGCTGGTTACCCTATTTAATATTGCAATGCCCACCCTCAGCACCATTGCACTTCTGATGCCCTTTATCCTGCCCTTTTTCTTTTTTATAGCGCTTAAGACTGTGTTTGTTTATATTTTATCCACTGCCTCTCACACCCTCTTAGAATCTAAGCTCTGTGAGGGCAGGGATCATAGTGTCTGGCATAGAATAGAGACTCAGATATTTGTTGAATGAATGAGCTTTAAAAATAGCTGTCTTAAAAAAAATTAGCTGTCTTTTGACCTAGAAATCTCATTTCTAGAACTGGTTCCTAAATAAATAATTAGAGGTGCAGCTAAAGATTTATTTAGGTTCTCATAGCTTATGTATAATAAATGTAGCAAACAACCTAAACATCTAAAAATAGTTAATGGTTAATTCCATTGATATAGCTACATAATAGAATATTATAAAGATATTAAAATGTTTTTGAAGAATGTGTAATTACATGGGAAAATATTTATAATGTTAAAGTGTTGGAAGGCAGAATATAAAATTAATATATCCCCACTTCACACTTAATACAAAAAATGGATCAATGATCTAATCTAATAAAAGAAACATGCAAATTGACCATACCTTGCCTACACCCCACGCCACGTCCACCAGCCAATCAGAGCGACTATATGCAAATTAACTGGACCAAGATGGCGGCTGGCAGCCACGGAGATGGAGCAAGCAGGAGGCTTGGTTGCCCCGGCGATGGAGGAAGCCAAGCTTCCTGCCTGCCCTGGCTGGCTGTGGCCTCCACTAAAGGCAACAAAGTTTCAATTATAGAAGACAAATAAATCCCAGATACCTGCTTCCAGCCAGCCTCCACTGGGAGCTTGGGTGGCTGGGGGGCCGTGGCCAGCTGCGAACAGCCATCAGCCCCTCACCCAGGCTGGCCAGGCACCCCAGCAGGACCCCCCACCCTGAAGGGGGTGTGGCCAGCCTGAAAATGGCCCTCAGCCCCTCTCCCAGGCTGGCCACACCCTCAAGGGGCCCCCACCCTGAAGGGGCTGTGGCTAGCCTGAAAACAGCCATCAGCCCCTCTCCCAGGCTGGCCACACCCTCAAGGGGTGAGGGTCCTGAAGGGGCTGTGGCCAGCCTGCAGACAGCCATCAGCCCCTCACCCAGGCTGGCCAGGCACCCCAGCAGGAACCCCCTCCCTGAAGGGGGTGTGGCCAGTCTGAAAACGGCCCTCAGACCTGCACCCAGGCTGGCCAGGAATCCCAGTGGGACCCCCACCTTGATCCGGGACACCCTTCAGGGCAAACCAGCCAGCCCCCACCCATGCACCAGGCATATAATAAAAGGGTAATATGCAAATTGATCCTAACAGCAGAACAACTGGGAATGACTGGTCACTATGACACACACTGACCACCAGGGGGCAGACGCTCAATGCAGGAGCTGCCCCCTGGTGGTCAGTGCGCTCCCACAGGGGGAGCTCTGCTCAGCCACAAGCCAGGCTGATGGCTGCCAGCACAGCAGTGATGGCGGGAGCCTCTCCCGCCTCAGCAGCGCTAAGGATGTCCGACTGCAGCTTAGGCCTGCTCCCCGCTGGCAAGTGGATATCCCCCGAGGGCTCCTGGGCTGCCAGAGGGATGTCTGACTGCCAGCTTAGGCCCGATCCCCTGGGGAGCAGGCCTAAGCCAGCAGGTAGACATCCCTTGAGGGGTCCCAGACTGCAAGAGGGCACAGGCCGGGCTGAGGGGACCCCCCCCACACACACCGAGTGCACAAATTTTTGTGCACCGGGCCTCTAGTTTAAATATTAAAGCCCAAACCATAAAACTCTTTGAAGAAAACATAAGGCTAAATCTCCATGACCTTGGATTTGGCGATGGATTCTTAGATATAACACCAAAAGCATGAGCACAAAAGAAAAAACGGTATATTGGACTTCATCAAAATTTTAAAAATTTTGCATCAAAGGCATTATCAAGAAAGTGAAAAGATAACCCACTGAATGGGAGAAAATATTTGCAAATTATATATCTGATAAGGGTTTACTATCCAGAATATATAAATTAACAAAATAACCCAAATTTAAAAATTGGCAAATGTTTTGAATAGATACTTCTCCAAAGGAGATATACAAATGCCAATAAGCATGTGGAAAGATGCTCACCATTATTAAGAATTAGAGAAATACAAATAAAAACCACAATGGAATACCACTTTATACCTACTAGGATGTCTGTAATCAAAAGTAACTAGTGTTGATGAGGATGTGGAGAAATTGGAAACTTCATGCATTGCTTGCAGGAATGTAAAATCGTGCAGCCACTGTGTAAAACAATTTGATGGTTCCTTCAAAAAGCTAAGCATATAATCGTCATATGGCCCAGCAATTCTGCTCCTCGGCATATACCCAAAAGAATTGAAAACAGGACTCAAACAAGGACTTGTATCCCAATGTTCATAGCAGCATTGTCCACAATAGCCAAAGGGCAGGAAAAAAACTCACATGTTCATCAACAGATGAATGGATAAATAAAATGTGGCCCATACATAGAGTGGAATATTATTCAGCCATAACAAGGAATGAAGTTCTGATCCATGCTACAACATGAATAAACTTTGAAAAACATTATGCTAAGTGAAAGAAGCCAGACACAAAAGGACAAGTAGTGTTTGATTTTGTTTATAGAGACAGGAAGTAGATTAGAGGTTAACAAGGGGCTACAGGGAGAGGGAATGGCAAGTTATTGCTTCATGGGTGCAGAGTTTCTATTTGGGGTTGATTAAAAAGTTTTAGAAACACATAATGGGGATAGTTGCACAACATTGTGAATATAATTAATACCACTGAATTATACACTCAAAATGGCTAAAATCACAAATTTTGTTACATATATTTTACCACAATAAAAATTATCAAAAACCCCCCACAAAACACCTATACCAGATATAAAATATACAGTGTTGGGCTGCATCTGGTGTATGCAGGTTCTCTAGAGCCAATTGTGAGCAACTCTTCCCAGCTACTCATTCAGTGATGTTGGTAGCTTGAAATTGGCCAAGGTGGGAGTATTTTTATTATGCAGCTTCACAAATGCTACAAAACAGAGCTTCACCTCAGTCCGCTCGAGCCAGTTAAGTATTTACCTGCATACCACTAAATATATGTATATAAAAGTAGAAAACTGTCTGGAAGGATAGATGCCAAACTGTGATTACCTCTAGGGAGAAGAATATTGTAGCCAGAATACAACAAAAAACTTACACTTCTTATCATATACATTTCTATATTGTTTCAACATTTTTACAGTGAGCATATAGATATATATTTCTTATACTGTTTTTTTTTTTAATGGACAGGAAAATCTGCATATGATGGGATTGTGGTGTGATGGAAACAGAGAGGGTAAAAGCTAATCACATATACTGTCTGAAATGGCCCGTGAAGAGGCTGAAGGCCAAACCTGGGACCTGGATTCTGTTTCCTCAGAAATATGCTTTGCTTCTTGCCCAACTAAATGGAGCTTTTCTTGTCTCTTTGTAGGTTACCCCACAGCCTACCCAGCAGCAGCCCCTGCCTACAACCCCAGCCTGTACCCCACCAATAGCCCCAGTTACGCTCCAGGTAAGGAGAAAGAGATAATAGTGGTGAGTGGGATAGGAGGTGGGATCTATTGAGAAAAACAGACCCACCTGCTGGCTTTTCCCTGTTCTTAATTACTCTGGGCTCAGCCTATATAAGTATGATTCTCCTGCGAGTTCCCTCTGGGAACTGGGCAGTTCAGCCTTAGGGTGGGGGCAGGAGTAGAATCTCCTCCATTCTACTTGGGGCTAAAGATTGACCCATTTCTCCTCTGTTGGAATATCTGAGACATGCATCCTCCTCACAGAACCTTGTCTGCTCTCCCAAACAGTCCATTCTTTGCTCAGTTGCCTCTGAAGGTGTCATTAGAAACTCTCTCTCTCTCTCTCTCTCTCACACACACACGCACACACACTTCTCTCTCTCTCTCTCTCTCTCTCTCTCTCTCTCTCTCTCTCTCGTACACACACACACACACACACTTTCTGAGTGTGTGTGGATTTGGAAGAGAGTGAGAGACTTGCCACCAGGGGATAAAGAGCTGGTTTTCAAGCTGCGTCAAATAACTTGTTTTTCAAAAATCATAAAGATCCAACACTCCTTGGATTCTTGGCTGGTGCTTTAACACTCGAGGGGCAGGAGAAAGAGTGTGGGCTCTGCACTTAGTCCTGGGTTTGAATCCTGGTTACTCAACTCACTAGTTGTGAGGCCTTGGACAAGTTACCTGACATCTGAGAAATGTGCTACTTACCTCAGGGTTATAGATGGTTTAATGTAAGTTCCTCTTCATTTACTCAGCAAGAATTTATTTGTTGATTGTCTTCTACACTGGGATAGAAAAAAAGAAAGGATGCCATCTTTGGCTCAGTGGCTTACCGTCCATTTGGGAGCTGGCATATAAACAAATTCCTGGCTGTGCAGCGTGATGAGTATTGTAGAAGGGCTACAAATAAGAGGAGAAAAAGCAGAGAAGGGAACAACAGTCTGCCTGAGATGAAAAGTGTGGGAGAGGCTTCACATAGGGCCTAGCAATGGCGACTTGAAGAAGTAGGGGTGTAACATTGGAGGCCCAGCTGAGGGTGGAGGCCGTGAATTTGTCCAGACTCTGTTCCCCAGACCTGGGGTATTTTCTCATGATGTTCAGAACTTCTGGTGAGAGATTGTGGAATTGTTTTAGGATTAGTTTGGCAAGAAAGTAGAGGATGGGGAATAAATAGCTAGTATTTGTTGAATGGTTCCTATGCTCCAGGGACTATTTTGAGCTCCTTATGGATATTAACTTGGTTTATATCACAATAAACCCTTGAGGTTAGTACTGTTGTTATTCCCATTTTTCCAACTGGGAAAACTAAAACTTTAGAAGTCAGGGAACCAGCCCAAGATCCAAGCCCAGGCATCCTGCCACCACACCTGCATGTGCTCTTAACCACAACATTGCACTTGGACCTGGCCAGAGAAAATTGAGGGTTAGACTAGAGCAGCCAGACCAGAGAGGGAAGGGAGAGCAGATGGAGGGAGCTGAGACTGGGGGTGGGGTGGGGGGAGTAGACATTGGAAAGCTCTTGGCACATATAAAGTACCAATTAAACTTTAATTTTAAAACAAAGTATCAGCCCTCATCAAACTTGATTTTCCCCAATTTTGAAAATTCAACATATTTCTAAGCTGTGACTAAACCAACCCAAACCATTTTCTCAGAAACCTACAAAATCCATTAGAGAGGGTGGGATTAGCTCATGGTGTCAGAAAGCCCCAAACTGGGGAGACCAGGGTTATAGCATCCTGGTTGCCTGGTCTGCTTCATATTCAGGAGGCTGGCGCCTGCATCCCCAGGCCTGCTGACTGCAGTGGGGGAGCTCCTGCTGCAGGGGAGCTGACTGGCTCAAGGACAGAGAGGACAGTGTGGGTTACTTTCAGCTTCCTGCCAGAGCCAGCCACTGTGATGCTGAGAGTTGCCTGTGGGATAGAAACCTGCAAAGGAGCCAGGCTCTCAGGTTTAAATTTCTCTCGGCTTCTTCAAGGAGACCAAAAAGTTGCTTTAGAGAGAGCTATTTTTCGCAGCTCTGAGTACCCTCATATGTCACCTGTCCAGGATGCAGGGCAACATTTCAGTGGTCTGAAGGCAGTGTAGGTACTTGGAGCTTTTCCCCCAAGCTCTTAATGACTTTGGGGATCTTATTGAAGAACTCTTTGCCCCCCCCCCCGCCCCTCCCCCCCAAGAGGCAGGAGCCAACTGACACTTGTTTTCGGAATCTGGAGGCCAAAGGATGTGTTGTATTGTCATATTTATGGAAATCTGACTTGAAAGTGAAAGGAAAGGATAAGTAGGATAACGGATATAGATAAGGATGAAATACTATCTCACAAGAAATCTGTTTATAAGTCATTTTCATTGATTGTTTCACTTGATTTCATAGCAGCCTTGTAAAGTGCAAGTGTATTTTTCCCATTTGACATGTGATGATCCTGGGGAAAGGATTTGTGTTTACTGAACACCTGTCATCTTCCAGACACTGTGCAAGGCATGTCACAAGCTTTCATTTTTACCTTAGTCTTGTAAGGTAGCGCTTCTTGTCTCCAGTTTTGCTCAGGGAGTTAAATAACTTGTCCAAAGCTGCTCAGCTAAAAAGCAGTGGAGCTGGGATTCAAACCCAACCTGTTTGAGCCCACAGCCTGTGCTCCTCCTCCTGCACCACATTTCCCCGGAAGCCTCAGGGAGGGGAATGCCTTTGCATTGGCTGTAGCTCTCTCGGGCTTTACAGAGAGCTCTTCAGAGGCCAAAATGATGATTTTGTCCCTGAACCTTCATGTCCTCTAGCACATAATCTCTGTCATGGGTGAAGTCCCTCTGCAGTACTTGGGGGAACTGAAATTTACTCTTAGCATGGACAGGCAAAGAGTGGGACCCTGGCCTTGTTCACACCCAGGCCGCTTCTGGGTCAGCTGCTGGGAGATGCCATCTCATTCAAGGAGGTGCCCCTCTGGGCTTTTCTGGACGGCAAGTCTGTCACTCCCCTCCAGGGTGGAGGCACTTCGCACCCTCTGCACTCTGTTTCTTGTGTAGCTTGGGGTAAACTGCTAACTTGAGACAAAGTCTGTTTTTGTAACTGCAATGTATACTACTTTGCACAGATTCTTAGTGGTAATTTCAACTAACATTTCTATCCAACAGAGTTTCAGTTCCTGCATTCAGCTTATGGTAGGAGAGCTATTTTTCCTCATATGTATTATGGCCTATGAATGTGTTATCTCGTAACAACAGTAGACCCCCTCTCCTGCCCTCCCCAAACCCATCCCCTAGGCTTGGGCTCCCCCAGGTGGCTCAGCAGCAGTTCCTAAAGCATGCAGGAACATGTATGATGGTGCAAAATCATGGGTTGGAGACACACATGAACCGTCCCCTAGGGCAGCAGTGAAGGATCATGGCACTAAAAGGCGTCTCTCCCCTTCCTCACCTCCGGAGTCCCATCTGACCCAGGTCAGAAACCTTTACCGTAACTGGCTGCTAAGTTCAAACAAGTGAAACAAAATTTTTGGGCTGCTATGGCTCCTCTGTTGGCTTTGAGGCGGCCTCTTGGAGGAGTACCTGGATTATGCCTATAAGAATCAAAAGCAAAACAAAAACAGTCGGCCCCCAGATCAGATTCTTCATCTCCATTGGCAGTCTGACATGTTTGAAGACCTGGTTGACTTGAGATAAAATCTGTTTCCTTCGCCCAGATCTTGAGCTCTGGATCTTTTTCAGGGCATTTTCCTGAATGGAGAGAGGTGAGGGTCAAGTGTGCCAAAATGAGTGAGGGACCAGAGCTGGGTTCTCTGGGCAGTGTGGACTCCAGGCCCCAGGCACCACAGGAACTTATGGGCACCTGTGAGGGTCCCAGCAGTGTAACTTGACTAGGTCCTTTTTGTCATAGACAGGAAGGGACCATGGGAGGGACTTGCCACTTTCACCACCCTCACCTGGGCTGCTCAGGACAGTGTTTTTGTAAAATCTCTGCACACCTTCTCAACTTATACCCTTAAATGATTTGGGTGCTGAATATTGAATTTGTGTGTGGCGCATCTTTCAGAAGATGAGCTGTGAAAATTTCTCTTTGCCACTGTTGGGTGCTGTGTGATCTTGGGCAATTTGCTAATGTCTTCAGGCTATAGATAATGTGTTTTATTCCAGATGACCTGTAAGGTCCGTTTAAATGCTAACAACCGGTCCTCTTAAAATTGTATTATTTCAGTTTTGCTAGTTACAGACTTGTTTCTCCTATCCTTTATGGGGAGTCACTTGTTTGCCTCAGGATGTATGAACCTGGACAGAGGACTCAATAAAAAGTGGGAGAAGCTCTCATGTTCCCTCATCCCTCCAGTTATAGCATCCACAGTTCTAGTCCAGGCCCTAAGCTGGTCCTTTGAACCTACAAAGACCAGTAAGACAGGGACCCTGTTCTCAAGGAGCTCCCAGATTAGTAGGAGAGACAGAGAAGCCGGCTTCTAAGAATTACAGTGACTGGAAAATAGTGGGCCATATGGGATCTATGAGGGGGCTGTGGTCAAGGAGTGGGGAAAAGAAAAGACTCATAATACAGATGGATGAGTCTTTAGCTCATAATTGATGAATTAATAAATGTTTACCAGTTAGCACTTAGGGAAAGACTGGGCCAGGAAGGGTGACCATTGTGAGCAAAAATACAGAAATGTGACGTTCCTTGGCACATTCTGGGAATGACAAACAAGTTTGTGTGGCGGTACAGGGTTAGAGAATGAGAACAAGAGAGTCTAGAGAGATCATAGGACTAGATCATATGGGGCCTTGAATGCCACACAAGGAGTTCAGCCTGTAGGCAGTGGACAACTGTGGAATGTTTTTAAAAAAGGGTTTGTGATTAGGTTTAGGTCTTAGAAATAGTACTCTGGGTACAGCTTGGAGATTACAGTTGGCAGGTTTAAAAACAAGCAGAACAGTGAGGAAGAAATTGCAGAAGTTCAGGTGAAAGATGATGAGAGCTTAAATTAGAGCTCTGTGGGATAGAAAAGTAAACGGATATCAGGATTAGAAACTGTAAGACTGGGAGATATTTTATATTTTTTTAATATTCAAAAAAATGATTTATAGAGAAATGGGAAGGGAGGGGGAGAGAGAAACATAAATTGGCTGCCTCCCAGGCATGTACCCTAACAGGAATGGAACTGACAACCTTTCAGTGCACAAGATGACCCCCCAACCACTGAGCCACGCCGGCCAGGGCTATGACACTTTATTTTTGATCCTCGCATCAATACTATGAAGTGATCAGGGAATGATTATTATTGCCATTTTAGAAGACAACAAAATGGAAGTTTAGAAAGGTTGTGACTTGCCCAAGGTCTCACAGTTAATAAGTGGCACAGCCCAGGCTAGAATTCAGATTTCCTGACTTACTACATTGTTCAGGATGATGGTCCCTTGCTGCCTCTCCTCCTTGTGAGTGTGCTTAGCAGACTGTTCAAGTGTCAGAGGGCACGAGGGCCCCGTATCCAGGGAAGTGAACAACCCAGCACGTGGATGTGGGCAGCATGCTGTGACTGGGCCATGGCCCTTCACTGCCAAGGGTTCTCTCTCTCTCTTTCTCTCTCTCTCTATCATTCTCTCACTCTTGCTCTCTCCTTTTTAAATTAAGAAATAATACATATACTATAGTATATACAGTCCACTAGTCTCAAATATACAGCTCAGTAATATTTGACATATGTATACACTTATATTTAACTACCACCCGGTTCTAAATATAGAAACCTTTCTAGGAGTTGGTACCTTTCATGGCATCCAGGAGCAAACGTGCCTGTCAAAGCAACCTCCTCTGTTACCATGCCTCTGAAAGGCTCAGTTGGGTTGTCTTCATCCCACAACTGAGCTCTGAACCACTCACCAACAGAATGGTCACTTTGTACATGGAGGAGGAAGATCATATGGCACAACGAATGAGGAAGCCAAGTTGACAGCTAACATTCTTTTTTGGTTTTACTCTTTCTATTTATCCAGTTATTTAAATTATTAAGTATTTAAAAATATAAAGAAATGTATTTGTTTTCTTTATAATGAAACCAGAAGAAGATATTCACTTCTTCAGGAACATGTATAGTTTGGTTCACTTGATCACTTGGGAAAGACATAATCAAAGGCACAGTCGCACTTGCTTCTTTCCTGGTTAATCTGAAACATTATTTTACTGTGTGTAATGCTGTCTTGTTCACTCTCTGGTTGGCGTGTGGCTGTGTTGCATCCCCCGCTAGACCATAAGTACCTTGTGTGCAGTGACCATGACCCACGTGTGTTCCTGTCCACCGTGGCGCTCCCCTCAGTGCTGAGTGCAGTAGGCCTCAGTCACTCTTTGGTTAATTTTGATTTATTTACTTTGTCACACAGTCCTTCAGGCTAATGTCAGGCTTTTGGCTTATGATGAAAATTATGGTACAGTATTCACCACTCGGGGAAACAGCTGGACCAGAACTGGACCTCCAAATTCTCTGCAGCCAAATTCAGGCCTCCTGAGAGTCCCTTTGAGGTCTTGAGGGCATGGATTTTTCTATTTAGGGAGGTGTTTTGGGTGGGCAGAGCTATCCAGCCACATGGAGTGGCAGGTTCTAAATTTAGAGACATCTTGATAAGATTTTTCAGCACTAATTGGATCCTTTATTAATCCCCAATCCCCACTCACCCCTACCCCAGAAAAAGAAACCCAAAAGAATTATTTAAAACTGACTGCCCTCATCCTACATTGTCTGCAAAGCCATGTCTTGATGTCCAGCAAAGGCCCTGGACTCTGCATGGGATTCTGCTGAGTCTCCATTTCTTCGGCCAGAATTCTCCTTTTAGTGTCACCTCCCTGCCCATGATTTTCTTCTCATTTCTCAGCATCCACTGTACATATTGCGGGCCATTAATGCAAGCTCAAGGTCAGCCCACAACAGCTAGATTTATAGCCTTGGATCAGCAAAAACAGCAGTCCTTGACTTCCTTCTCTGGGCCCGGTATCTCATGACCAAAGGAACTGAGGCGTTACCAGTTACTCAGACAGGCAGGGGGTTATGGGACCTCTCTGGAGGTGGGCTCTCCTTATCCTGGTGGAATTAGAGTGTACAGGCACCCTGTCTTCTCATAACATCCTGTCTTACCTTAGCCCCTTATTAAAATGTTTCAAGTATATGGGACTGTTGCCAGTGCAGCCCCACCTCCTTCTAATATTCTTTAAAACACCCATATACATAACTCCCAAGACCTTATTTGAATAGAAGAGATACTGTTAAAATAATTATTTTTACTCTAAGTAGCAATTTGTGTCAAGAATGTTTCTCCTCTAGTATTTGAAAGTATATCAAGGGAAATATCTAAAATGTTAGGCATTTCCCCCCTTTGAAACCCTATTTCCTCTCTCCTTCCCCACAGGATACCATGAAGGTAAGTTTTTTTGTGTGTGTTTTTTTTAAGTTATTCCCACTTCTAGAACATATGAAGCATCATCCTTCACATTTTTCAAGCTGAGCTTTGAGTCAGCCTGGGAAGTCTCTGTAAATTTCTTTCAAACTGGGCCTCATCTCTATTTCACACCTACTCAGGTTTGACATTTACTTTCTTTTCTTTTTTCTTTCTTTTTTTTTTTTTTAATATTGATTTCAGAGAGGATGGGAGAGGGGAGAGAGAGAGATAGAAACATCAAGAATGAGGGAGAATCATCCATCAGCTGCCTCCTGAACGCCTCCTACTAGGGATGGAGCCCACAACCCAGGCATGTGCCCTGACTGGGAATAGAATTTCAACCTCCTGGTTCATAGGTTGACGCTCAACCACTGAGCCACACCAGCGGGCAACATTTACTTTCTTAGTGGCCCAAAAGATCATCTCTAATTCACAAGGAGATATCTCAAAGTGAGGGAGGCACCAGTAGCACCTCAACAGGAGATATAACGGGTGTACAAGCCATTTGTCTGTCTGGCCGTGGCTGGGTATATAGGAGGAATTAGCAGGGAGTAGTGCCAACATGGGCCCTCTAAGCTGCCAAAGCTCAATCCCTTTAGAAGAGATGGCAGTCCAGCAAGGTTCATGTCATATGGTAATTAATTTGGGGTTCTCTCTTTGAAAGCAACTTATTAAATACACCTCCAGATGAGATTTCAGGCTTAAAGAAAGAGTACTCAGTTGGTCTGTCCCAATAGACAGTCGTCAAAGGCTCCGAGTTGCTACACATTCATGAGAAAGTAGCTAAGGAATAGACCAGGGCCTTAGGCCAGAGTGCCACACAGTAGGAGACAGTATTCACAGGTGTCTTCGTGGTTTTGGTAGTGGGTAGAAAATTTGGACTCTCCTAATTTAATATAAGCTCAGATTTCCTGGGGTTCACATCATTTGGAAGCTCACTTTAGCACTCCTCTCAACCACCACCCAGCTCAGAAAGGCTGGACCGTCCTGTGTGTCTGAACAGGCCCCTTAAGTTATATGTTTCCATCCAGCCCAAGACCCTTACTTTGTGTCTGTGATTGGTGGTGCCCACTTCTTATTTCTGCCTAATGCCATTCTTGTGTCTTCCCTTAAGCAACTCTGCTGATGAAACAGGCCTGGCCACAGAACTCGACTTCCTGTGGCACTGAAGGCACCTTCCACCTCCCAGTGGACACCGGGACCGAGAACCGAACTTACCAAGCATCCTCTGCGGCTTTCAGTAAATACAGCCTGTCTCCTCCTTTCCTGTTCCTCTTGGTTGGGACTGATTTGTCTCTTAGGAAGAGAGGAAAGGGAACTTTAAAAAGTGACATTTATAAGACACTATTTTAAGAGGTTCTCTTACCCACACAAAAAATTGGCCTTCCTCACATAGGAAAGGTCATCCTCTTTGATCATGCAGCCAGCTCTGGGGAGACACAAAGCAGTGAGGGAGGGAGAAGGAAGTGCTCATCTGGCCAACAAGTTTGATGAGGAAAGGACTGTTACTATGTTTCAAGGGAAAGGACAGAGGGGACTTTTGAACACCTGCCTGTGGACCTTTAGACAGAGCGGGCTCCTCCAGCTAAGCTAGCACAGGGATTCTCAACCGGGTGCTGTGGGCATCTGGATCAGATCACCCTTGTTGAGGGGCTGTCCTGTGCATTGTAGGGTGCTTAGCTGCACCCCTGACCTCTCCCCATTGGATCCCAGTAGCAAACCCTCATTATAGCCATCAAAAATGTCTCTAAACGTTGCTAAATATCCCTCGGGCCAGATTGCCTCTGCCTGAGAAAGTCTATGCTCGCGGAAGCTTCACTGTGGGAGTAAAGTATGTACATGGAGCCCTCAGGGAGGACAGAAACCCTCTGGCCAGTCAGATTGGTCGCACTCATCTTGAGGCTCAGTGAGGTGACTGATGGTTTTACCTTCACATCTGATTTTTAACACAAAATGGCTCCACTGTGTAAAATGAGGATACAAGTTGAGAAGTTAGTGGCATTTTGACTCTTTGTAAGTAGAAATGTTGGAGCTGTCCAAAAGAGGAACGGCTGGCCTTGGATGTGGTGAGTGCCTGTCTGAAGTTGTTTAGCAGGGGGCTGTGCAAGAACTGGGTGGGATGTTGCAGACTAGGCCCCATAGTGTGATTCAGTGGCTTATTAATCTATTAAGACTGTAGGTCAGAAGAATACATGGTATGTTCTTTTTCTTTAAAATACCCAGTGTCATTTCTTCTTAGTTATCATTGCTCCCAAATGTCAACATCAACTGATGTTCATATGTAACATAGCTCTCGCCTTTTGGAAACTGTGCTTTCATATCACCCTCTCATTTAATCTACACTGTAATCCTATTATTTGGGTGGATTTTTATCTCAGTTTGAAAGCTGAGGCTCAGAAAGGTAATATACCTGTTGCCATCCAACTGGTAAGCAGCACAACTAGAAAAAGGTATCACCATGGTTAAGTTGCTACTACTGTTTTTGTTTTTGTTTTAATCTCACCCGGGGATATGTTTATTGATTTGAGAGAGAGAGGACAGTGGAGGAGGGGGAAGGGAAACATTAATTGGTTGCCTCCCGTACACGCCTGACTGGGAATCGAACCTGCAACCCAGGTATGTGTCCTGACTGGGAATTGAACCCTCAATCTTTTGGTGTATGGGACAATGCTCCAACCAACTGAGCCACCCGGCCAGAACACTATTACTTTATTTTCATGAGATGAATTGTACTCTTTAAGAGAGTGATGGCAGCAGTAGGAAATTTTTCCAGATAACCTGTGGCATTACATATGTTCATGTATATGTGGCTTATACATATATATTCTCTCTCATATCTACATGTATGGATGTAGATGCTTATAGACATGTCTACTGTAGTACAGCAAAAAGAGCCTGAAGTAGAAGACCAAAAGAGTTGGATTCTAGATTTGGTTGTGTGTTACTTTGGATAATTCTTTCCACATTTTGGACCTTGGTTTTTCCAACTGCAAAATAAGGGAGCTGGACTAGGTCATCTTTAAGGTTCCCTCTAGCTGTTTAGACTCCTGATTCTGTCATACTCAATATCCTCTACTCCAGCAGGGACCTCCTCCCTAGTTGCCCTGACCAATAGTTGGCCCACTAGCCATTGCTCACACATCTCCAGGTATGGGGTACTCATTCCCTTCAGAGACAACCCTTTCCACAGTGAGAAAGTCTCAGTATTAGAAGGTCTTGCCTTCTATGTTGAAATCTTCCTGCAGTCCCATTGAAATGTCCAGTAGCTATATCCTACTACCCTCTCATAGTTTATCATAGTCCCCTCTCTTTTAAGCCAGTAATGTATGAACCTGTGTAATTTTTAAATAGAGGTGGGATTAACTGGTCCTCGCACACTCATCAGGGTTCTTCCCAGCACACAGATTTTGTGGCTTCTAAGGCCACAGAAAATTCAGGGCACTTTGACAAATTTAGTTACTTGCTAAGCCTGTTTGTAACTAGGTCTCCCTCCTACTTATTCAGCACTCTTTTGTTCATCTACCAAGGAGACTTGAGGGTCAAGGCAAGAATCAGATCTAGAGCTTTGTCCAGGCATATAAATCTAATGTCAATAAACCAATTAGTCTAAGACGCATCCTTGATGTGAGGATCAATGCCTTTGAAGGTGTAGGGGCTCTACAGCTGAAAAAGATTTATGACAGTGCAAAAGGATTGACGAGAGGACTTGCTAGTGTATACACTCTCTTTATTATCCTGTTTGATGGAGCCTAAAATTATGGATAGGAACCTGAGAGAAAGAACAGGGTGTCATAAGCCTCTTTTAAGGCAAAGCTGGGACTTCTAGTGTCAGATTCCTTTTTTCTCTCACGATATTGCCTTTAGTGGAATAATGACACAAATGTTAATATACCAAATGCCCAAGATTGGCTTCCAGAGAGGAGTTCTGCCCAGAGCATGGCAAACCCTCAATTCTGGGCCTAGCTCTGCACTGATTTGCTGTGCAGTTTTCGGGATGTCTCTGCCCCTCTGGGCTCCAGGTTCTTCATCTGAAACAGAGAGCATTGAATTCAAGTCTATAATGTCCTTAAGGCATAACATTCCAAAGACCTAACTCTCTGACCTTCAGACTTAGGTAGAACTCCTTTAAGGAGAGTCAGGCCAACCTTGAGTGAGTTGAGTCTGTGTTCATTTTAGCAAAATGCATTAGTTGTGTGTGTGTGTGTGTGTGTGTGTGTGTGTTTGTTTTGTTTTGTTTTTTTCCATCAAGCCCAGCAGCAGCTTTTACTTAGATGCACAGAGCAATGACCCTGAATTTGGTGATGTTCAAGGTAGCTGAGGCCACAGTCCAGGGGATTTTCCAGTGATCCTCAAGGCATGAACAGGACCACCAGTCAGTTGTGGAAAGTCCTCGGCAATGATTTCCTCATGAAAGTTTCACTGAAATACTCAGAGACTTAGAATGTCAGCTCTGGGAAGGCCACTCTAATATTATCTAATCCAAATGAGGCTATGTCTTGAGAAAAGAATTAACCTGACTCCCCGACAGGGCCCAGGGCAGTTTCTGTAGCCTTCTGACAAAGTCGGCACCCTTGAGAGCCACTGTGGTCAGAGGAAAGAGCCCTGAGTCCTGAGTCCTTGCGAGCCGTCAAGCTCGCTCAGCATATGTTCAGTCTCTCATCTGAGACGTGTGTGTTGGTCTGATGATCTCTGAGGCCTCCTTTAGCTCTGCACTTCTGCTTCTCCCTGCTCAGACTGTCTGGACAAACAGGCAAGGCCTTCTGCTGCAGCAGCATTTTGGCTGCCAAGGGTGTTTTGGCTACTGATTTGTATTCTGAGTATGTGTGTGTCTTCATTTCATAACATGGAAAAAGAGAAACATTCTCAGACAAGGTTATTCTTAGATGTGGAAACCAAATTCTATTGCAATCTCTTGGAGCCATTTGATTTTCCTCAGAGGGATGATCTCAACACTATGTAAGGTAGTTGTCCTTGTGGTGAAGAGGGGGAAGTGCAGGCTTTCCCAGGGATCAAAATCCCAGAGCTGATTCTCCGGGAGCATAAAGGAGAGTCACCAGTATTGTTGGCTTGTTAACTTTAAAGACTCATAAAATGATGGCATTTTAGACTGTAAAATTTTAGAATCTTAGAATCCTGGAGTCTTTTTCAAGTTGGATCATGCCAAGGAAGCCATAGTTTAACTACTATCTACTGTAGTCTTTCAGACCAGTCTCTGCTTGTATACCTCCAGGACAGGAAGCTCACTATCTCTCTATACAGTGAGAGAAAAAGAATAGCTAATCTTTATGAAGTGCTTTTAATGTATTGGGCACTATTCTAAGGGCTTTGCACTTATTAATGTACTTACCACAGTAACCCTACAAGTAGGTTCTGTTATTACACCTCCTCCCCCCCCCCACCCTGTTTTACAGATGAGGAGACTGATATATTCTACAACTGTTAAGTAGCAGGGCTGGGATTTGGACCCAGGCAATCTCTCTGGCTCTAGACCAGTGGTTCTCAACCTTCCTAATGCCGTGACCCTTTAATACAGTTCCTCATGTTGTGGTGACCCCCAACCATAAAATTATTTTCGTTGCTACTTCATAACTGTAATTTTGCTACTGTTATGAATCGTAATGTAAATATCTGATATGCAGGATGTATTTTCATTGTTACAAATTGAACATAATTAAAGCATAGTGATTAATCACAAAAACAATATGTAATTATATATGTGTTTTCCGATGGTCTTAGGCAACCCCTGTGAAAGGGTCGTTCAACCCCCAAAGGGGTCGCGACCCACAGGTTGAGAACCGTTGCTCTAGACTAACAACCACTACTCTGCTGGATAGCTTTCATAGACAGGCACCTTGGGGTTCGGGGGTGTCTTGCCCTCCTGTGGAAGAGAGATGCTCTCCACTCTGGCAGGACTCCCCATACCTTGTTTTGCACTTTTAAATCATGAGTCAGCAAGATAATAAATATTTTAGATTTTTCAGGCCATATGGTTTCTTTTATAACTACCACTGTAGCAGGAAAGCAGCCATAGTCTACGTAAATGAATGGCATGGCTGTGTTACTGTAAACTTTATTTACCAAAACAGACTATGATGACCAAAAATTGCAGTTTGCCTGATTTAAATGTAATAGTATGAATAAAAGATTCTGCGGTAAAATAAATTTGGGAAAATCTCCTGCATATCCCTATTTTAGAGATTCACAGTTCATCTTGTCATTTTAAAACTTCTCAGGGTCATGGGATGAAAAAAACCAATCTTTTTATCTCTATTTTACATTGCTGCTTTCTTTCTTTCTTGCAAAATAATGATTAAGATCCCTCAGAACCACAGTCCCTTGTGTACTCTTGGGATGTGCCCAGCTACCTTGTTTTATAGAAGATAATGTCTGTCTCCAAGCTGAAGTACCCCTCAGATGGCTTCTAGAAGTCTGCAGAGCTACTATAAACTCCCTGTTTTCCCCACATATCTGCTTCTCCTATGACCACTTCCATGATTAGCTCCACAATCTAGAAACTTGGAGGAATCTGCTGTAGACTTCTCCCTCAGCTGGCTCACACCACCCCTTCTAGTTAGTTTCCAGTTCTTATCAATGCTCCTTTCTCTTTCATGTATTCTTTCCCCTCCATCTTCTTTGCTACTTATTTCCCAAGTGTATTTGACCACAAAATTGGTTTCTCATGGAACAAACTGTGGATCTCCAGGAGGAAAGATAAATGACATGACTCCGTGAAGAGGACAGGACATATTTTATGGTGCCGTTGTAGCAACTAAACAGCACCTCCCAGATCCTGCCAACTCATCTGAGATTGGGGGCACCAAGCCAGAGCTGTGATGTGGACTGAGCGAGATTTGTGACGATGTGGCACTGTCCCTTCAGCTCAGAAAGGAGGAGAGCTTCCTATAAAGACCTGCCTTCTCTAAGCCCCAGGATCTCCTCATGTAGATCCTTGAGTTCGGTCCAGTCATTCATTTGTGATTCTCGTTCCTGAGTGATGCATGTTTCAAGTGTGTCCTGTGAACATAGAATCTGAGTCTCTTCTCCAAAGAGTCAGGGGCAGCAGTTTGGGCGATGGTGAGTTTCTTAGGGTCTGACCTCTCAGCCTCCCCCCAGCTTTTGTCTACCCTGCTGAGTTACCCACATGGCCTGGGTTCCAAATTCCTGTGAACCTTTGTGACCCCTGACTTCAGGCCTTCAGGCAGAGGTGGCCCTGCCCCGTGCCCCAGGGGGAGAGGAAACAACAGCTCTGTAGAGCAAAGTTTTTCAGCATCTCCGAAGGTGAGGATCTTTGAATGGTGTTTGTATGGAGGTTTTTATTTTTACTTTTATTTTTTATTGATTTCAGGGAGGAAGGGAGAGAGAGAGAGAGAGAGAGAGAGAGAGAGAGAGAGAGAGAGAGAAACATTAATGATGAGAGAGAATCATTGATCGGCTGCCTCTTGCATGGCCCACACTGCGCATATGCCCTGACCGGGAATTGAACCATGACCTCCTGGTTCATAGGTCGATGCTCAACCACTGAGCCATGCCGGCTGGGCTGTATGGAGTTTTCACCTTAAAACTTGGCACGGAGGAAGGGGAATATGGTGGAGGGAGAGAGATACAATGGGAAAAAGAAATAAGAGAAAGGGGGAAATCAAGAAAGAAACAGCAGAAAATACCCTGGGTGTTTAGTGAGGAGACAGAAAAGCAGCAAGATAGATAATGCAATAAAGAGTGGGCAGGTTATGTAATACATTAAACAATCAAGAATTTAAATTAACAACAACAAAAAGTTAGTTATACTATTATGCATTTATGTATAAAAAAGAAGTGAGCAGGTTGAGGGTCCCCCATCTGTGTGCACCTGCCTCTCACGGCAGGAAGCTCAGAATCCCAGACCATTGGAGCTACCAGGGTCCTTTAAGAGATCGTTACTTCCATCTGTTATTTTATAGATGAGAGCCCTAAGATCCAGAGAAGTAAAAGATGCCAGAATTACACATGCATCCCTGTGCACCAGGACTGAGGGAGCTGCCTCTGGGAACAGTGCTCTCTGAGTGGAGCCCTGCTCTCTGTCTGTTCTCATCTGTGTTTCCAGCCTGGATTCAGCCCATTCTTGTCTAGGGAGTCGTGACTGGAACCTGCTACCTTCCAGCAATGCTGTTCTGCCAACTAATTGGAAGTCTTTCTTATTGCCTTGGTACAGGATATACTGCGGGGACACCATACAAGGTCCCACCGACCCAGAGCAATACTGCTCCACCCCCCTACTCCCCATCACCCAACCCCTATCAGACGGCCATGTATCCCATCAGAAGTGCCTATCCTCAGCAGAATCTGTATGCCCAGGTAGGTGCATGTGGAAGCCTGGGCCCACCTCTTCTCCAGGTAAAGGAGCCACCAGCCTGAGTGGGTGGGTGGGTGCAGGTAAGAAAGAAAAGGAAGGAGAGCTCCTGGCTCTGCCCAGCTGTCATTGTTGTGTCACAGAAACAATATCCCTGCAGTTTATACATTCCCTCACTCCACCTCAGCCCCCGGGAGTGACACACAAAGTCACTTAGATTAATGGAGCCCAGAATGCAAGATGGGCAAGGGCTCTTGGAGATCTAGCTCAACTGCTTTTTTATATACAAACTAGAGGCCCGGTACACGGATTTGTGCACTGGCAGGGGTATGGCCTGTGGGGATCGGCACACTGTGGGAGCTCTGCTCATCCTGGTCAGCGGAGCAGCTGTGGACCTGCCCTCTGAGCGGCTGCTCCTGCTGTGGGAGCACACTGACCACCAGGGGGCAGCTCCTGCATTAAGCATCTGCCTCCTGGTGGTCAGTGCGCGTCATACCAACTGGTCAACTAGTCATTCTGGTCGTTCCATTGTTCGGTTGCTGGGCTTTTATATTTATATATATATATATATACACACACACACACATACATATACATATACACACACACACACACACACACACATACACACACACGCACACACACACACACACACACACTAGAGGCCCGGTGTACGAAATTTGTGCATGGGGGTGGGGGGGTCCCCTCAGCCCAGCCTGCACCCTCTCCAATCCAGGACCCTTTGGGGGATGTCTGATCGGGCCTACACCAGCAGTTGGACATCCCTCTTACAATCTGGGACCACTGGCTCCTAACTGCTCACCTGCCTGATTGCCCCTAACTGCCCCCCCTGCCGGCCTAGTTGCCCCCAACTGCCTCCCCCCCGCCTGCCTGGAAGCCCCTAACTGCTCCCGCGCCGGCGTGGTCACCCCTTAGTGCCCCCCATGCCGGCCTGGTTGCCCCTCATTGCCCCCCCCCGCCAGCCTGGTCACCCCCAACTGCCCCCCCATGGGCCTGGTCACCTCACGCAGCCTGCTGCTCAGTCGTTTGGTCGCCCCTCACTAACCCCGCTGCTGGCCTGGTTGCCCCACGCAGCCTGCTGCTCAGTTGTTTGGTCGCCCCTCTCTAACCCCCCTACCGGCCTAGTCACCCCACGCAGCCTATTCGGTCATCCGTTCAGTTGTGATGGTTGCTTAGGCATAGATAGATAGATAGATAGATAGATAGATAGATAGAGATGGGGAATCCAAGACCCAGAGAGGTCACCTATTGGGTGAGTCAAGATGAGAACCCTTATGTCTTGGGCATTTCTCCCTACCCCCCACATCCACTCTTCCTTGATAAAGTCTGTGAGTTTGAGTGGGGAGGACATATTAATGCCCAGGCTCTGCCACCAGTTGGCTGTATGACCTTGGACAAATCACTCTGTGTGCCTCAATGCCCCATCTGGGCTCCTTGAGCTACAGAATGTTGTGTTCTGAGGGGATGGCAATGCTACAGTGACTGAGACTTTAACACACTCAGGGCACATTTTTCTGGAGTGACAATTTTACATGAGGCTCTTTTTAAAAAAATGTTTTTATTGATTTTAGAGAGAGGGGAAGGGAGAGGGATAGAGAGATGGAAACATCGATGAGAGAGAAACATCTATTTATTGGCTGCCTCCTACATGCTTCCTAGTGGGGATCAAGCCCACAACCCAGGCATGTGCCCTGACTGGGAAGTGAACTGGTGACTTCTTGGTTTATGGGTCGATGCTCAACCACTGAGCCACCTGGCTGGGCTGACATGAGGTTTAAATAATAAGGAGAATGCTTTTTAAATATAAAAAACAGCTATATTTAGAGTAAAAAGCAAAACTTTAAAAGGAACAATAGGCTTGAGATAAGTGTTTCTTGTTTATGGTAGGCTGCTTTGCACTCTGCTCTCAGACCTCTGGGGTCACAAGCCACATTATGAAGCTCTTGCCATTATTTAGTAGAAACATTTGAGAAACTCTGGATTAAGATGATCCAGGGGCCCCCTGCCTACTCCCCACAAGGTCAGCAGGCCTGTGGGCTGTGGCAGGAGGAAGCAGCCATGTGGTCCAGGCATTTGAAAGTCACCTTAGACCACGGTCTCCGTCCTCAACCTTGTTCCTAAAGGGAATAGGTGGTAAGAGATATCTAGGGAAATGCTCTGCACCTGTGACCTTCTTCCAGGAAAATGGCAGCACTCGCACCGGTGTGACGCTCCCACTGGTCCAGGGGTTCCCAACCTTTTTTTGGCCATGCCCCACCTAAGCGTCTCTAAAATCCTGATGCCCCCCCCCCCCCGTCCCCAACATATAATTCTTATTATCCAAAAAGTGAACTCCTATTCACGTGGAGGAAGCCTGAAAGGCCATTAACTTGGTCTAAACAAGCTTCCAAAGAACATGGCATCCATGAAAGAGAAAAAAGAACGAAAGGACAGTTGAAGTACTGAGGAAGAAATCACTAAGAAATTGTTTAAAAAATAATAATATGAAGTGATATGGAAAAACAGCAAATAAAGCTTCAAAACAATAGAGAACTGAAGTGCATAAATATGTCACAATACATATTTATATCCTGTATATGAGGCCTCTAGAACCATAAGAAATGCCAAAAATTCACTGTTAATAACTCATTCTCAAATTGCCCCCCTGTGGGGCGTCTGCTTCATGTTGGGAACCACTGCACTAGGCCTTCACGTGTGTGCGCACAGGGCCCTGGCGTTCACCGGCACGCCCACGTCCTCTTCACTCATTGGTTGCAGCCCCTGCCTTTACATGTTAGGCAGCGTATAGAGCACATTGCAATAAAATACAAACATTTTAAAATGCCAAATCAGTGTTACAGAAGTAGAGCCATTACCCCACTAGGTCATCCTCGCAGCCCTAGGAACAAGGCAGGACAGGGTTGGAGCCTTACTTTTCAGACCAGAAGCTGAGCCCAGCACTGCATTGTCCGTAATCATGTAGTGAAACAGAAGCAGAGCCCCAAGTGGGGCCCATACCCTGTGTCCCTGGTCTGTGCTTCCCTGGGGGCCTGGGAAGAATAGGCTTCCCCCCTCCTCTCCACACCCCTCCCACCTTTAAAAGCCTATGTGACCTCAGCCTTTTCTCCCCCAGGGAGCCTACTACACACAGCCGGTGTACGCTGCCCAGCCCCACGTCATCCACCACACCACGGTCGTCCAGCCCAACAGCATTCCCTCCGCCATCTACCCGGCACCTGTAGCTGCCCCCAGGACCAACGGTGTGGCCATGGGCATGGTGGCTGGCACTACCATGGCGATGTCAGCAGGTGAGGGCCATCTCTGTGTCAGCGTCCATTCATCCCTCTCCTCCAGGAACTCGTGACAGAGTGGAACACAGTCATGGAATCGACGTAGCATCATAGGAGAAACTCTGTGCCGGGGCTTCTGGGAAATAGAGGCGGGACCCTCTACTAGTAAATCCGTCTGCAGGGATGAGGACGATCTCACGAGGAGGGCATATTGAACTAGGCCTTTAAGGGTGAACGTGCGCTAGCCAGAGAAATGAAAGAGCAAAGGGCAGTCCAAGCGGAAAGACCATGAGTATGGCATGTTCACAGAATGGAAATGGCCTAAAGCACTTAGAAAATAGTGGTGTGAAGTTAGAGGGGTGGCTGGAGCAATCGGCAGAGATAAAGTGGGGAAGAATACCTATAGGTATCAGAGAAGGGGCTTAGGCAGAGGAGAGATGGGCTTGAAACATCCCCTCTGGCTGCAAGGTGGAGGCAGGATTAGATGTGGGGGCTCGAAGCACGCAGGACAGGGGAGGCTATAGTTCAGAGGAGAGATGATATGAGGACCCTGATGACAACAATGGCTCCAGGAAGGAGAGCATGGGGAATGTTACTTAGGCAGGAGCGTAAGGACCTGTCTCATAATTAGTTGTAATGCATGGGAGAAGCAGGAGTCCAGAAGGACTGTTCTCCATTTCTAGCTTACTCCAGAAATTAGACCCCCCCCCCCCCTCAGGGACCTGGAGGATGGGGTGGAAGAGAAGCCAGAGGAAGAGCAGGTTTAGGGACGTCAGGAGGAGTTGATACTCCAGAGAAGAGATGAGAAGACAAGAGGGCTATGCCTGATTTTTAGAGTCCCAACTTCTAAAGAATCAGCTGTCACCTTCTGAGGGAAGAGAGTACAAGGGGTCGAGTGGGTGGGAGGTAAGAGTTTGGGATTTTATTCTGCCCCAAGTGGAAATGGTTGTTGAGGCCTCTCATTCCCCAGATCACATCAGGGAGCTTTTGAATGCTGCTCGGTGCCAGCCTTGTTCAGTTCCTGGGTACCAGGTACCAATAGCTCAGACCAGAGCCCTGCCCTTAGGAACAACTAGGTTAGTGGGAAGCACAACCACATAAGCAAGTTACCCCTCAGGTATTTCTGCAGTGACAGGAGCATGCAGAGAGGAGGCCACTGGAGAAGGGATGGGCTCTGCCCTGGAGCATCAGAAAGCTTTTCCTAAGGAGATGAAACCTGGCCAGGTGGGGAAGGGCTGGTCATTCATGAGCTGGCGGGAGGAGGGGCCCCAGGCGGGGAGCAGCTGTGTGAAAGACCATGGCCTCATTCTCTCCATCCCAGGGCCCTGGGATGGCCTCATCAGCTTTGCTCTTCTCTCTCTGGTGCTCAGGTACCCTGCTGACTGCACCCCAGCACACCGCGATTGGGGCACACCCTGTCTCCATGCCAACATACAGGGCCCAAGGGACCCCTGCGTACAGCTATGTGCCACCACACTGGTAAAGCCTGCAGCCCATCCAAGTGAGTGGGGTCCGGGGAGGGAGAGGTAGGCGGGTGAGTGAACACTAGGACTGCTTTAGAATCCCAGGTGTCGTGGGGCAGGGACAGTTACCAGTTGCTTTCATGCTTCAGTTCAGTAATATCACTCTTAATAATGGTGTCACTTTACATATATTCTAAGTACTTAACATGTTATCTCATATCCCATCAGCTCTGTTGTACAGACAACTACATAGTTCAGCATCCCTAACCAGTAACAATGAAGCAGGGACTTGAACTCCAGGCCTCTAGTACTAAATTCTAGACTCTTTACCATACGGTCTTCACACTTTGAACTGTGGGCACCATTCTTCAACTGAAATCTTAATCAGATGTTGGCTCTGACTAGTGCCAACCCCCCGCCCCCTCCCCACCCCCCCACCGCCACCCTCCATTCCTCTTGCCTTCGGCAGCTTCTGAGGCAGTGCCAGTGAACCGCAGGGGACAGGGGTGTCAGCAGCTCTGCCCTCCACATCCTCCAAGGGCTGTTGCACTGGACAGGAAGCAGGCAGCTCTGCTGGGACAGCACAGAGGGCTCCCCAGGGGCGGGGAGGGGTCCCCTGGCTTCCTAAGTGGCCTTGGGAACACCACTGTCACTAACTGCTCTCCCCTTCCTCCCCAGATCTGGAGTCACACATTGTATGCAACTACTCAAGTCTTACAGGTGCTGGAGCAGTTCCCTAGCAGCACCACCTCTATTTGCAAGAAGAGACAACGGAAGTGCAAGGGTCACTTTATGCATCTTTAGCGGTTTTGATTTTTATTTTTGGTTTATGTAAAAGCTGCTTTTTCTAATCTCCTGCCTCTCCCCACTACCCTCCTCTTAGCCACGGCCCTTCCAGCTTCACCCCTCCTCCTACCTGACCAGGCACTTCCTCTCTGCTCTTCTTCTTTCCTTCCCCAAGCGTCCATTCCCCGGGGATCCCGGTCTAGCGGCAGGTAGAGAGTGGGGGTTATTGCAGTGGTTCAGCTGAAGGCACGATTTCCGATTTCCTTTGAAAAGCCTAACAGATGTAGCCCTTGGGTCCAGGGTGGGAACTCAGAGCTGTTGAGCAGGCTCCATCTTTGGGGGATTGTTTCCTTTTTTTATTTTTCTCAAGATTAGTTTAGGACATTACCATGTCCTGACACAAATGAAATGTCTTCTGAGAACCATCGCAACAGATCAAGAACAAAACACCTGATTAGGTAGGAGTGTTCATAGCAGCTTAATACCCCAGGTGAGAACCTGGGAAAAACAGATTTTTGGGGGAGATCTTGGGGGTGTGGGGAGCACTGTGCGAGGGAAGAGGGAGAGAGGTGCTTGCCTGCTGGCTTTGGTTTGTAAGGCCTCTGGCTAGATTGCCTGGGCCTAGACCCTCTGATTTGCACAGTAATGTAAACTGACCTGGCACTTCCTCAGAAGGTGATTTTGACCTCAGACCTGCCAAGCAGCTGCAGGGTGGTGGGCTCCCAGCCTCCCAAAGCCTTGGATGGCCAGGTGCCCTGTGTAACCCAGACCTTGGCCCCTGAGCCCCCATGGACCCACTCTGATGAGGAGCCAGCTCCTGATTAGCGTGGGAACCTATGGCATTTCTCTCCCTTCCTTCTGCCCTTCCCAGTGCCAGAGCTCACCCATCTGTCCTTGGGGCTGGCAGGCAGGCCAGGCTCTTGGTTACCTTTAGCCACTCATGGCCAAAGTGAAGGAACCACATTCCAGATGGGTGCTGGCAGCTCTGAAGGTCAGAATAGTGAAGGAAAAGCAATAGCAATAAACATTTCATAGACTCATGGAACTGAAGGGACCTTAGCAATCATCTCATCCATTCCCCTTTTTGACTGATGAGGAAGCTGAGGCCTGGAAAAGAGGAAAGGACTTCCCTGGATCTTGCAGTAAATTAGCATTAAATGCAGCCTTTCTACCTAGGGGCATGTTGCTCACAAAAATTTACCTAGGGATGGATTGGCTTGGTTTTGTAAAAATTAAGTCAGCAGTGCCCACATCTGGTGAGCTCTGGAACAGTATCTGTCTGGGTTTTTGTTTCTGTTCTTTTCCTCCCTAGACTCCAAAGGCAGGGGGAAGACTGGGCAGAGGTTACTTGGGAGCAGATGGCAGGAACAGAAATTGCAAATGAAGAAATAGCATTTGGAAATTCTGTGAAGACACCTGGAACTTATGTCCTGTACCTGACTCCAGCCCTAGGAGAATGAGCAGGTGTGCTGTCTGAAAGGAGGGTCCATGCATTTAGGACAGTAGCGCCTCATCCTGAGAGAAGAGGAGGACCAGGATGAGGCCTGGGAGAAGAGGGGTCCCTGGGTCAGGAGGCCCTGCTAGTCTCAGCTAGGAGCCTGGTTTGCTCCCCTGCACCTAGCACTTGGCTGGGCCAGCAGCCCCCCCTAGTGGGGGCAAGGACATTTACTGTACAGAGTGGGATCATTGATAATACTTGGGACTTTTAAATAACTTTTTCAATTTAAATTCATGCAAATGTGGACATATCCCTATCTCTACCTCCCATCACTCCCTAAATCAGGAAAAAAATCAGAAACCCTTGGGCCAGGAGGGCAAAGCCCATCAGCATCCTCAGCCCAGAGTCGGAAGTTGGGGCCAACCTTCTTGGCCTGCCAGGGACCTGGAGGACCAGTAAGGAGAAACCCAGCAGTTCTGAATGGTCTGTCCCGGGTGCTGAAGTTTCATTGTAAAACAACCAAGTTTCCCAGTGTTAATCCATTTTTTGCAAATACTTCCTTCTCCTCTCTGGTTTGTAAGGGTGAAGATGGTTTTAGATTATGTCATACATATTTGGAAAATGCCAAAATAATAATAATAGTAACAGGAAACCTTGGCATTTATCTATCAGGTGCTTCATAGATTTCAGAGCACTTCACAGCCTTTAATTTACTGGCCCTGAGACAGAGAGACATGGTCAGAGTTATTATACCCACTAGACAAATGAGGAGGCTGGTTCTAGAAGGAAAGGGAACTTGTCCAAAGTGAGCAGAACACTGGCATCCTGACAGGCTTTCTGAACCTGCTGCATCCAGATGGGCTGCAGTAGAACCAGAGAGGAAGGAAAAAAGAGGAGACTTAGGAATGACCTTGTTACTTTCGTTCTTTCTACACCAGTAAGTAAAAACTAATGTCTAGTACCTTGCAGTTCACAGAACAATTTCACATCCATCCTCTGATTTAATCCTGTGAAATAGATTATTCCTCCCATTTGACTTAGGAAACAAACTCAGAAAAGCAAAGTGACTTGTCTATCTGCTTTCTCTCTCCCTCCAGTTTGACTTATACACAGGCTTGCAGACTGATGCATCTATGCTCTGCACCCTCTCTTAGCCCTAGTATGTAACTCAAGATCAAAGACAGGCCCCAAGGCATAACCAAGGCACAGAAAGGCTGTAGTCTGAAGAGCCCAGGCCCAGCACCCCTTTTATAATATGAGTGTTGGAGCCTCGTTCTCTTGCTCTGATGGAGATCCACAAGCCTGGCCAGGCTAACATGACAATGAACTGCAGTGCTGGCCCCGCGTGTAAATCCCTCTCCACCCCCTCCACTGCCTCTCCCCAGTACCACAGCTTGGTGGCCAGCATTGGGGGTATATAGATGGTTCCAGTCACCAGCCAACCCTTTTACCCCCACCTCCCTTCTATTTGACTCCCTCTCAGTAGCCTGGGGCCTGGGAAGCTGGAGTGCCCCCAATCTGCCACATTTTGAAAATGTTTTAAAAATGTCTTCCCCATGAGACAGGACAATTGCTGCTCCTCTCTCTCTCCTGGTAATGATCCTAAAGTGATATCCCCTTCCCTAAATATTGAACAAGGACATACACCTGTCCAGAGTGTTTTCATGTACAAAGTACTTTGACGTTGATTGCCAAATTACCCATCTTAAAACTAAGTCTCAGAAGTCTTAAGACTTGCCAAAGGTCACAGAGCTCAAGAGAAAGAGCCAACACTTGAACTCTTCAGATCCTCTGCTCTTCCTGCTGGCACCTGCGGGTCTGAGTGGCAGGGGTGAGGAAGGGATGGCTTCCTGTCTGTCCCAGGGGTGAGGACCAGGACCTAGAGACGGTGCAGAGTCCTGACTCCTTATCCCAACTCTTACCTCTGGCCGCCCAAGTTGTTCCAAGTTTGAGGTATTTACTTCTAGAGGTCTGGGGGTGCTTCTTTGGAGGAGCTTGCTTTGTTCTGCGTGGCCTCCAGAAGTGAATCGTGGGACATAAAGTAGGGCCGGCCTCTTGGTCACCAAGTTCTGGTGGTGGTGTGCAGACAGGACTAGGCCAGTCTTAGCAAGGCCCTGGCTTAGCCAGGCCTGGAGCCCTGCATGTCAGATTCCTCAGCTCTGCTCCATGGCCCGAGAGGGAGGGCCGAGAAGGCGTGGGTCTTGGGCACAGCACTCTGACTAGAATAACTTGGATCTCACCGTGGCATTTCTCCTCGATTGCAGTTGAAAGTGTGTGGCAGCTCTGCTTTTCCATCCTGCATTCTACCACATCACTGCAGGGGATGTGGTGTTCAGCCACATGCCAAGCTTAGCAATCCAGAGGGGTTAGGTCAGGCAGTGGAGTGGGCAGGCGGGAAGCAGGATCACAGTAGAAACTCAGCCAGGCTAACATCAGATTCCACACCTGAGTCCCTGAGAGCTCAGGCTCCATGGGCAGGCCAGGCTGCTGCAGGATCTGTCCTTCACCTGCCCATGTTCCCCTCTCCTAGAGAACTCATTTCTGAAATTAGGCATTACTTGGTTCCAGGGCCCAGCCGTCAAAATTTCTGGCAGGCCAGCTTCAACATTCCATAGCCAACCTCGCCCGAACCAGACTCGATCCCACTCACTCAGCTTCTTTGGTGGGTACTTTCTGTCTTGCATGCTGTTGCGTTCAGCCCAGTGGCCAAGTGAGACACACAGGATTAGGACTGGCTGTCCCAAAGCCTGAAGGGAAACGAGCGCTCACTCTCCTGTGGCTGCATCCGCAGTCCCTAGGCTCCTTGCGTGGCGGTGAGACCCATACCCATCCCAGCTCCTGGTACAGGGGTGTTTTCCTTCCCGGAGAGAACAGATAGAACAGCTTTGCAGATAAGTACCAGCCCCTGGGAGTCAAATGGGTGAAATCATCTTTGAGCTGGACCCCAGCAAGACCAGCATCTGCAGGCTCCAGCCTTCCTCCTCGAGCCTGAGAATCGGGAAGAGTGGGACTGCCCAGAGACCACCTTCTCGGGTCAGCAGATTGTGTGCATCTAGGGTGGGACTTGAGCTTCTCCTCACCAAGGGGAGGCCAGACCAGGCCTCTAGCAACTTGGAGTTGTAATGACCTTTAAAGGCCCAGCGCCTGTCCCCCTCTCCTGTTTCATATCACCTGTTCTCATGGCATGTAACATCCCTGTGAGAGTATTGTATATGATTTTGTATTTTTTAATTCATTTTAATCTACAGGTTGGAATCTGATTTTTAAATTTTATTGGAATTCACATTTTAAAAGGAAAAACATTTAAAATAATAATAATAAACCTTTGACCAGTGTCTTCCAAGTAGTTGATCAAAGAACTTATAGGTGTTTTCAAACACAGCCTGGAGTGCAAAGATGGGAAAGCCCCATGGCCTCGCTTGTGTATATGAAGTGTAAATCTGGTTTGGTTTTGTTTTGGATTCTTTTGGGATTTTGTTTTGTTTTGATCAGATAGTGATCATTCTGAAAGATTGAAGCCAAGAATTTGTAACTATGATATTTACTGTAAGCTGTAGAACATTCAATAACTATTAAAAAAAAGTTTCCCAAAAAAGTCGGGGGTGACCAGGCTGGTGGTTATTGGGGCAGGGGACACAGACCACCTCCTGGCCAGTGAGTCCCTGGCTTCTTCCCAAGTTGGTCCTAAACTTGTTCTCACAGGCAGGCCACACCTGTGCTGCATCTCCCTGCAGGCACAGGGGCTGCCCTGGACTCACCGCTGAGGGGCTGGGTAGTGGCCATCAGCACCTGGACAAAGGTGTGTCCTACAGAAGCACAGGGAAGCCAGGGATGATGAAGGCTGACATCTGTGTGCTCACTTACGTGGCTGGTGCCGCACGTGATGCCTGGTAACTCTCAGAATCCTCACAACATGATGGGAAGTGAGTCCTGTTGTTAGGCCTGTCCTCAGGAGGGACGGCTCGGGGGTAAGTACCCTGACCAAGGTGACAGCTGGGGAGGGCAGAGGTGAACTCACCGTAGTCGGCTCCACATTCCAGGCAGCACCCCAGAGGAGGCGATGCCTGACTTGCTTAAAGGGCCAGTCTGTCAGGTGGGAAACCAAGGAAGGTGCGTGGTCACCATCCAAATGTTCATCAAGTGCTGGCAGTTTTGCATCCTAAACATCTCACTCTTGTCTCCCCTCTGGACAAAGCCACTACCCCAGTCCAGGTCGGGGCTTCTCCTCCTGGTCATTGTGGCCACCATTTCCTTCCAGGGCCTGGCCCCCCACGGATCTATGCTCTCCTAGCCTCCAAGCACTCAACCTCTTCCACTGGAGAGAAAACAGGCCCAGGTTGGCTAACTGACCTGGCTCACACTGGGCTGTAATTACAACCCAGACACCTCTTCAGCCTTTTCCACAGCCTCACTCTGCCGCCATCGCACCATCCCCAGCTTCCCCTCCTGTGCTCACCTGGTGAGCAGCTCAGGTGTGGGAGGGGAGGGCACCTCTGCCCACAGCCAGTGCCAGGCTGTCACAGCAGCTCTGCAGGGCAGGAAGGGGATTTTCCCCAGGAACTTGGCTCCAGGGCCCAGAGCAGGCAGGGAGGCAGAGAACGGCCCAGCACCCACATTCTGACCCCACCCTGTCCTCCAGGTCCCATCCCTGCCAGTGGCCTGAGCCAGCCTGGAGCTCAACAGCTGGCAAGGCCATCAGGACCTAGAGGGGACAAGCCAGGAGAGCTTCCAGGGGTGAGGGTGAGGATGGGGTGCTGCCTCTATTTGGGAATGGAAGAGCAAGGACTTTCTCATAGGGGAGTTATACAGTGGGGCCTTGACTTACAAGTGTCCCGACTAAGGAGTTTTTTGAGATACCAGATGTCTCTCAACCGATTTTTTGCATTGAGTTGATAGAGTAATTTGAGTTAACGAGCTCCTTAACAGCTCGGTCTCAGAACGAATTAAACTCGTAAGTCAAGGCCCCACTGTATTTGCAAGCAAAGAAACTGTGATCATTCAGCCCAGAAAAGACCCTAAAATCTGGGTCTGATACATCTGCGTTTGGGGGAAGGAGCTCCTGGAGGCCAGGAGCATCAGACACACCCCTCCCTTGACCTCAGGTCCTCCTCGCCCCTGGGAGCTGGCCTCACCATCCCCGAAGGACAGGTAAACGCCCAGCCACACCTCTCTTACCTTCTGGCATCAGACAATCGGGGGTCTGGAGGGAAGCAGTGTTTGTTCCCCCAGGTCCTGGCACCAAGGTGGGAGTGCCCCTTACCTGGCCTGGGGAGCCCTTTCTCAGTCTCTACCCTGGCTGATCCTGAATGTCCTCATCCCAGGCGAGAGGGCATCTAGAAGGCACGGCCTCACCCTCACCCGGTGGGGCTGAGTCCCAGGTGGAACGGAGTTGGGTGGCTGAAGAGACACTGAAAAGCTAGACCCTGAGATACAGCCAACAGCTGGCAAATAAGGAGGGAACCGTCCTTGGCTGCACGGTGATGCCTGCCAGCCCCCCACAACCGACACCGTCCCAGAGTCTGACAGCCTTTGGTGCTCCAGACAGTTCCTCCTGATGTCCAGCCTCCGTCTCCTCCCTCCCTCTCCTAGAGCTTTGTCCCCTGGCTCCTCAGAGGTGCCCTTCCTGTCCTGCCCACTGGGAAGCCCCGAGAGAGGAGGCGGGGAGAGCTGGAATCTCAAGGCATGTCCACCAGCCTCCCCTGAAGGGCAGAGCTTTCTCTGAAGCAGCCAGGCCCTGCAAGGCTGCTGCCCAGTAAAGGCCCACAGGAGTCCCCTCCACACTCCGAGGCCTCTTTCCTGTTAGCTCTCTCCCTGGAGTCTTAAGGTCTCACCACCCATGGCCTGGCACAGTCCGGCTGCTGCAGGGAGCTCAGCCCACTCAGCCTGGCCCTGCTCTCGCCATGCCCTTGAGATGACACCAGCCACATCCCTGGTCTGCTAACACGGACCCTGCATTCTTCCTGACTCCACAGCAGCAGCACCTGGCCTTGTGCCCCACCGTCTCCCATTCCCCTTCCGGGGTACTGCACTTTCCCGCTTTCCTTCCACCTTGCCAGTGCCCTGAGCCCTCTCCCTGGAACATGTCCCCCCACCCACCCCGGCCCAGCCTAGTACTGGTAGCAATGCCTACCTGAGTACTTCCAGATGTTCTCTCCAGATGCTCAGGACACTCAGGACTACTGCGCCTCTTTACCCACCCAGCTGTCCCTAATCCCTTGACCTACATCCCATCACCAAGCCCTGGCGGTCTGTCCAGGAATCTATTGGACCCATCTGTTTCTATCACCCACGCAGCCCCGCCTCCACCATCTCTTGCCTGGATGTTGGCAACAGCTTCCTTGTGGAACCTGCGCTCCTGCAGCTCCCCCACCCGCCAAGAACAGGCTGACCGTGCCCTTCCCCCTCCTACATGCTTTAGGAGCTCCTTGGGGTCCGAGAGCCCACGTGGCTGCCTTCTGATGCCCACCCCACCCGGTCTCCACACCTGGCAAGATGGTTCTACTTCCAGCCTCTCCCGCTCCTCATTCCTGTTGATGGCTGGCCTGTGCATACGCTGTTGCCTCTGTGGCGCATGCTGCCCCTTCCACATTACCCAGCTCCCAGGATGTCTTACCACATCGTCTTCCAGGCTCCACTTCCTCTAGAGCTGTGTGTCCAGTACAGAGCCACTAGCCACAGGTGGCTATCGGAGCCTTTGAAATACACTGGTTCATAAGATGTGGTTTAAGCGTAAAACACCAGCTTTCAAAGCAAAAGTATCAGTGGCTCATTCACAATTTTTATAATGACTGTATAATTAAATGAAAATATTTTAGACGTATACTGGGTTAAGTAGAATGCATTATTGATATCATTAAAATTAACTTCACCTGCTTTTTTTTTTTTTTTACTTTTTAAAATGTGGCTATTAGAAAAATTTAAATTACATACATGACACACACTATATTCCGCTGGATGGCACTGCCCCGAGGGGCTTCAGTGAGAACCAGAGGGGGTGAGGGGCCTCCCCCGGCCCCACTTCACTGGCTGCCAATGAGAAGGCCCCTCGAAGGGGCATGGCCTGTGCCACACACAGTGCCTGACAGATTCAGGGAATGGACGGACGACCTGGGAAGAGGCACAGGGAAAAGAAGCTCCTCATGACACAACGCTCCCACCTTTTATTCAACAAATGGATGGGGCTGGAGACGCAAGGACAGGGCAACAGCACAGTTTCAATAAATAAGAAATGGGGCAACAGTGGGGCCCGTGCCTGCACAGCCCACATAAATAACCAGGTTGCCGAGCCAGGGTGGAGACGGGCGGGGCAGTTGCCCGCACTGCCCACACTAAGGGACAGACACACCAACACCACAGGGACACAGACCACCTAAGGCAGAGGTGCCTCTCCAGCCTGTCACACACCCTCCCCCAAAGCTCCTGATATCGTGGGGGTGGCTGGGCCCCACCCAGGTCAAGTCTGTTTTATCAATTTGAATAAATAAAAACAGCAGGGTCGGAGGCAGGCACATGCATGAAGCCCCTTCTGGAGGCAGAGCCATGGATGGGCAGCCCCATGGGGGCCTTGAAGGCGGAGGCCCTGGAAGCAGCAAAAATGGGGCCAGATAAAGCTACTAGTGGGAGGGGTGGCCAGGAGGTAAGCTCGCACCCACGACACAGCCCAGAGCCCGCAGGGAGCTGGAGAGGCCCTGGGCACTGAGACTTCACAGTCAGAAAAAGGGGGACCCAGAGATGGCCAGGGACTTGCCAGGGAATAGAACCCAGGGATTCAGACTCCCTGCCCGTGGCATGTTGTTGCCCCTCCCCTTCACAGGTCCTGCCGGGAGAGGAGGGGAGGCACATCTGCTCTGGGGCCCTGGACAGAGGCAGGAGGTGGCTAATTACCAAGGGTGGGGCCAGGGGTGCCAAGCAGAGGGCCCCTCCCACCATCACGGCCTGGCCTCCTGGTGGCACAGAGGATCTCACGGGTCCCAGGATCTGACCAGGGCACAGGGTCAGGGGCATCCTGCAGGGAAGGAACTGGGTGGCAGGGACGGGTGGGCTTTCAGCTTGCTCCTGTGTACTGCGCCTGCCGCGGCCTCCGCGCGGGGGCAGACACTGCCACCTCCAGCCTTGCCGTTTTGTCTGCTGGGCCATTGCTTCTTGATCCTTGCAGGCCCAGCTGCAGCTCGACCTCCTCCAGGAAGCCTTCGGAACCTCCCAGGACAGGGCTGTAGTGCCCTCAGATGACCAGGTTGCTCTCACTTAGCCGGACCACATAGCGGCTCTCCTGGGGGACAGGAACGAGTGGTCAGAGCTGAGGCTCCAGGAAAGTGGCCCCTGCCCAGGGGTCCCTGCACCTCCGCCCCTGCCCCATCTGCAGGCAGGGTAGACACTTCCTCTCTGTGGCCCTCACCTCGGCCTTCTTCTCTGCTGGGGGCTTTGGCCACTTAGTATGGCTTCCACTACTTCCCAGTAGTGCCCGCTGCTCAGTGGGGTGGCCAGCTTGTGGGGAGTCAGTGAAATCACCCACTGAGGGCCCAACCTCCGTGATGGTCTTCACCTCAGAGGCCCATGAATTTGTCCGCTGCTCAGGAATTCGGGCCACGCGGAACCTGTGAAGAGAGGTGGTGCAATCATCCCCCGATTAGAGGAACCCCAAAGTAGAGAAGGCAGCAGGTTCATTGGTCAGAGCCTGAGCCCTTCCCACACCCTTTTATCCACAGATGAGCCCCCAACCCTAGTTTGCAGGTAGGCCCTTGGCCTGAGGGGCCCCAGGTGTGACAAGTAGCCAGGATCCTGCCTCAGGGACCCAGGGCTCCATGTGAGAGCATCGCTGAGCAGACCTGACTTCTCCCTGGTCACCCCACTGCCCAGAGGCACCTGAGGCCAGGAAGGGAGGTGGGGCGTCACCAGGCAAGGTATTTGGGGCTCAACCTGGGGCTCACACCCTGGCTGTCGTCTCTCCCTGACCCTGCTTCGTCTGTGCCCACCTCACCTGCCCACAGACAAGATAGTGATCTCGCCCTGGCGTCCGGCCTTGGCCCCGGCCTTGGGCGCCCTGGCTGGGTTGGGCAGATATCTGGGAGTGGGCGTGGTAGCGGCCGCAGCTTCAGGGGACAGCAGCACCTCGGGCCACTTCTGGTTACAACGGGAGCAGCAGACGCCAGAGAGCGAGGCCAGGCCCTGCACGGTGTGGAGGTGGTGGTAGTGTGGGCAGATGTACGGCATGCTGGGTCTGGGCGGCAGCCTATGGAGGGCACAGGTGGCAGTGGTCACGAGGGCAGACCAGGACCAGGAGACCACAGAAGGTGGTGAAGGGTATTGGGGTGACAGGAGAGGGAGCATCCCCAGGTGGTGAGTCCCCAGGAAGTGGGCTGATTCGCTGGGTATGGGCTCCCCTTACCACCTGCCCACTCACCTGGGCACAGGCCGGTGGCTGGTTTGTACCAGCTGTTTGCTGTGATACTCCTTCAGCAGCTCCTCCAGGGCCGCTGCGTTCTCTGTGGGCAGCTGAAGTCAGAACCCGGCTCTGGGCCATGAGGGGCACTCCCCCAGGACCCCCTGTCTCAGTACCAATCCCCTGACCTACCTGCCATCCCCTCCCTGCCTGGGGCACGTGCCTTTTCCTCCCCCCACCCCCCACCTCCCCAATCAGGCAAGAACAGGGGGGAAAGGGGGCAGCACCATCCATCACACAGGTCAGAGGGGGAGGCTGGCCCGGTGACCCCTGAGGCTGCCTCGCAGGCTCTGAGAGGAGACCCTCCTTTCCTGGGCACAGGGATACTCAGGCCTTCTCCTCACCTTTCTTCTCCGTGATCAGGCGCACCAGGACCCCGATGGTGTCCTCGTTGGCGTCTTCAGCCCCGTAGGCGGGGTTGTTCCCTGGGGTCAGAAGAGGAGGACTGTGATTCTGGGGAAGTGAGGAGGGTGGAACCCCAGACTCTGGAGCTATACCAACATGTGGCAGCAGAGGGCGCACCAAGCCTTCCTCGGCGCTGGGCTACGAGCCTGGGTGTTTGCAAACCCGTCCAGGCCGCAGCTCTGAGAAGCCCATTATCACCCTCACTGCTCAGCATCTCTGCTCCCTGCACCCAAAGCCCCGGTGCTTAGCAGTGTCAGGCCCATCTGAACTCCACCGTTCCTGCAGAGAGAGTGTGGGTCTGGCAGCGCTTCTGGGGCCTGCCCTCTCCCCACTCAGCCAACAACTCCTGCAGACACTGCCAGTCCCAGGCCTGTTACCTCCCCGCACACCCTCCTGTCTATAAGCTAACAGGGCGCTTGGCTTAGGGCCCAAGCCTCAAAGGCAGGAAAATGGGCCACGTGCTCAATCCTGGGCCAGCAGCAAACAGCTCCTAGGACAGCATTTTGAAAGACCCTAACTTAACTCTGGTGCCGTGTCACATATAGAAATTTTTTGATATTTGCAACCATAGTAAAACAAAGATTTATATTTTTGATATTTACTTTATATATTTAAATGCCATTTAACAAAGAAAAATCAACCAAAAAAATGAGTTCACGTGTCACCTCTGACACGCGTGTCCTAGGTTCGCCATCACTGACCTAGGACTTGTACTGAAAGCAGCCAGCAGTTAAAGTTAGTCCTGAGCTGGGAAAACAAGGGAGTCCCGGGCGTGGTGGCCTGAGTTACCAGGCCTAAAGCTCCGGTCTCCATCCTGCCCCCAATCCCACACCCCAGACTTCATCATCAGGAGTCGGGAAGGGCTCTGGCCAGGCCCAGGCAGCCTGAGGCACTGGCACAGGAGGTGCCATTTCAATCTCAACTTGGCCACAAGGCTCCTATGGGCAATATGTGTGCACATGCCCTCCTGGCCTTCGGGTAGAGGGGGGTGTGGGGAGGAGACAAGGGGGCCGAGGGCCCTGGGGTGGGGGTGGGGGAAACACATGTCTCCCTTTGGTCTGGGACTCACAGCTCAAACCACAGCCTGGAAACCCAAGCCTCGCCTGGTGCCCGCCCAAGACAGCTGCCCTTCGGGCCAGAGGTCAGAGGTCACTTTGAGGATCGAGTAGGAGGTCAGACCCTCGAACCACACACACACTGTAGCCCTGAAGAGTTCAGACCCCTTCAGCCAGGCATGGCTGCACCCAAAGTGGGAATCCCACTACAGCCACTTCACCTGCTCTATCCGTCACCACCTTGAGCCACCTCCTCCTCCCTTCTACCTTGTCAGTGGCACATGCAGCACCTCCAGGAAGCCCTCCTGACTTGCCCTCTGCAGGCCTCTCCCTGTCAGACCCTTCGGGCCAAGCAGGATCCCTCGGGCAGCCCCCAAGCTGAGCTGGGCCGGCCCTTGCCCTCTGGCCTCCCCACCAGGACTCCGGGCCAGCCTCACCGCTGCCTCCACCTCCAGGGCCGGGCCCGACTTCCTTGTTGGCAGTGCAGTGGTAGCCCTTCCGCTTGAGCAGGTTACACACCAGGATGCCCAGCAGCCCCATGAGGCAGAAGATGGGCACGATGGCGATAACTGCGTACGGGGCCGCCGTCTCCTCAGGGCCGCCTGCCCGCGTGCTGTTCCCAGGCGGCCGAGTCTCCCCGGTGCCTCTGGCCCCTGCTGCCGCCGCCACACCACGCCGGGTCCGCCTTCTCCGCTCTGAGCACCACGGAGGACAGAGGCATGGAGAGAGAATCACACAGTGGGACCAGGGCCCGAGCCAGGGTGTGCATGTATGTGTACGTGGGTGTGCGTGGACGTGTATGGGCGCTGATGTGTTCAGAGCTGCCCACGCCTTGCCATGTTGGGGAAACAAGGTCCAACTCACCCCCAGCCCCTCCTATTTGGCCATCTGACTAGTCAGCGTGAGCAAGGCCCCTTCAGGCCGCAGGGTGGTCAGAACCTCATCCCCCGTCACCCCTCCTGCTGGGTCAGAGGGATGAGCAGATGGCACCCGTGTGCGTGCCTGGGCACAGGGACACTGGGTCCTGCCTCCCCATGACCTGGTCCATGAGTTAGCTGCCCTGACCGGTAAGAGGAGGTGCGTGTGTGTATGTGTACAAGCATGTGCGCTCACAGTCATCTGCATGTGTGTTTAAGGGGATGAGGATGGGGGTCAGACAGGTCAGGATGTGAGTCCTCCTGCTGAGTGGCCTCTGCCACTCAGAATGACTTGGGCCAACAGAGAGCCAGTGGAACAACTGACCACATCCTGCTGGACACCCCCTGGCTGTTCACCTTCCCTGTGCTGAGGGAATGAGGACCCTGCTGCCCTAGATGGACACTGTGGGGGTCCCTGGGCTCAAGCTCACCAGACCCCCTCCCACACATACCCTAGGCCCCATGCCACTCACCATAACAACTGCGAGGACCCAGAGGTGTCCAGGAGCACGGCTGACAGGGAACACGGGGGACCTCTGAAGGGGCAAACCACCTACGGGGGGGAGACATCACTGAGACCCAGAACTTTCCTCAAAGAGACTGGACTCCTTCCTACTGGACACCCACACTGGTCCTTACCCTCCCATTTCACAGATGGGAGGACTGAGGCCCGCTCAGGGGCTGGGCGAGGCTGGGGCCAGGATCCAGAGTCCTGGTCACCTGGCATGAACTCCCACACCCCACCCCATGGCTCACCCAGGCCGGCAGTCTCCACATAGTGTGTCTTGAGTCACTGTGCCCGCCCGGGCCTCCAGCCTCCCTCGAAGGCTGCAGCGGGAGTGGGACTGGCATGGGCTAGAGCCCCACGAGGCTGAGAAGGTGCCCAGGGGGCAGGACCTGCATAATGTGCCCTGCCCCAGGTCCTGTGGGAGGGAAAGGGTGAGAACGAAGCCAGGAAGCCCGTCCCTGGCCCTCAGGAGTCTTCTTAGGACAGGGCGGATGGGCAGGGCGAGCTCACCAGGTTGGGCTCCTCCCCGGGTGGGCACTGCCAAGGGGTCGTTGATGTTGGCATAGCCAGAGGCCAGGGCAGCAGCTGGAAGAACAACGGGCAGGGCACACTGAGCAGAAAGCCCTGGGCCATGGCACCTCTGGGCTGTCTCTCCACCACCCGCCTCCTGATGCCCAGGAGTGGGGACTGAAGACCCCAGGCCTCAGGGATCCTCTCTAACCTCACCCTCACGCGGCAGGTAGAGCCTGCTCGTCCCGGACCTGCCCAGGGAGGGAGAGAGCACATCTGTGCTGGAAATGCTGGAAAGCCCCGGCCAGGCTGCTCAGGACCTCCAGCCTCTGAGTCACACCTCTTCCGTCCTGGACGAGGGGGGATGCTTCCGAATTCCTCTCAAGTTCCGCCCTGCTTCCTGCTGCCTTGCCCCCCAGCACAGCCGGCCTCTGTGCATCACCCCTGGGGCCAACGCTGCAGCTGGCACTTCCTATTCTGGGCCCTTGGCTGAGTCTCCAGCACCACATCCTCCTCCGTGACCTCCCCGTCACCCAGGCCACCCCTGCACCACACAGGGCGGGAACGTCCCAAGAGAAGGGTCCCTACTCGTGTCCCAGCCATTCCATTGGGAGCTCCCTCTGCTTCCCTTTCCAGGTGTGAACTGTCTGCCCTGAACCCTGTGCTGTGGGGAGACCCCCTGGTCCTCTGGTTTTGCTTTGGGGGTGGCAGGTGCAGAGTAGAGCCATCCGTCCTGAAGGGCAGAGGGAATGTTACGGAGGAGGCTCTGGGGACCGCCTCAGGCCCAGGCCTGGCTCCCGGCAGCAGTCAGTGTGGGCCAAGAGGCTGTGCGAGGGTCAGACGGCTTCCCGGGAAGAGCCGAGAACCAAGCGCACCCCAGCACGGGTCCTGAGCAGCCTTTTTTTTTTTTTTTTTTTTAAATATATTTTATTGATTTTTTACAGAGAGGAAGGGAGAGAGATAGAGAGTTAGAAACATCGATGAGAGAGAAACATCGATCAGCCGCCTCCTGCACATCTCCCACTGGGGATGTGCCCGCAACCCAGGTACATGCCCTTGACCGGAATCGAACCTGGGACCCTCCAGTCCGCAGGCCGACGCTCTATCCACTGAGCCAAACCGGTTTCGGCCCTGAGCAGCCTTTACCCTCCACCTCCTCGCAGGGCCGGGCTCAGGGCTCAGGGCTCGGCGATTCTGCTGTCCCCACCACATCCCATCCCCAACTCACCACAAGGAAGCAGGACAGCGGCCAGTGCGGTGGAGGGCTCAGCTTCATCCTCAGCTTCCTCCTCAGGCCCTGTGGTCCCCCGCCTAGGGCAGACGGAGGGGAGGCTCAGGAAGAGAGCAGCTGGCTTCCAGGACAACTGGAGGGAAGTGTGTGAGGTCTGCTGGGCAGGCAGCGCTCTGGCGAGGCTGGGCCTACACTTACTGCCGCCCCCCTTCAGCCCTCAAGCCTGAGTAGAGCAGGGGGTGTCCTGTCCGGGGCCAGCCTCCCGGGGCAGCACAGATGGGAGGAGGCTTCCCAGGGGGTCGGGCTTCCATAAACAGCCAGGTGCCCTGGGCACGGGCAGGGGGGCCTGGGAGGAAGGAAGCCTGTGACTGCATCCCTGCGGATGGGGGTAAGAGAGCTTGCAACAGCCCGCCCCCTCCTCAGGCTCCTGCCCCTCAGAACATGCAGGCCTCACGCATGCCCCCTCTCCTGCTCGCTGCCTTCACTCTTGCTGTTCCTGCTCAAAGAGGGCCCTTCCTCCCACCCTTCAAAGCCCAATACCAGGCGACTCTCCCCAGAAGCTTCTCTAGACCACCAATCCCCAAAGCTGGGTTAGGCCCCCAGAGCTCCTGCATGACCCCCAACTCCACCACAGTCCTGGCCCTCTCGTGTCCACTGTCCACCCCCAGCTGACTTCCCCACAAGGACCTGGGGGAGGTCCTGGGGGTGGTCATGGTGCCCAGCGCTCAGCCTCCCTCCTCCCTTGGGCACCTCCTGTGTGCCAGGCATAGGGAATAATATGAGTCTGAGCGAGACGGACAGTGTCCTGTCCTCAGGGAACTCACACCACAGGGTTGACCAACGGCCAACTGGCTAGATCCCCGTGCAATGGGCACTGGCTGAGAGGCTGAGGTGGCCTCTCTGAGGGAAGTCTCCGGCCAGTGGGCAGGGTGGGAACAGCAGAAGGACTGGCTCAGACAACAAGAGGAAGTTCCCAAGGAGCCCTTCCAGGCTCAGGAGGGGGAGGGGATCGATATTTGTCTGGCCAACGCCGCTGGCCAGGTGGGGCCTCTGACCCTGAGGGGTGGCGCTGGAGAGCCCAGTCCCTACCCCAGGGCCCCAGCAGGTTGAGGGGACCCTGCCTGGTGCCCCAATCTCCTTGGGAGAGCCCCTCAGCCTATGGTGGCCCGGGCTTCCCACTTGAAGAAGGAACCGGAGGACAAGGATCTGGCCTCACTGAATGGCCTGGCCCAGCACGGACCTCGCAGGCAGGGGCTGGGTCACACCACAGGAGGGGGAAGGGGAGGAGGAGGCGCAGCGGCCACACCAGGGACTCTCCAGGTCGCTGGCAATGGCTCCGGGCCCAAGGCCAGCTCAGGGGAAAACCTGGGACAGAACAACGGGCCAGAGTAGAGTGAAGGCCGCACCCTGGCAGTCAGCACCCAACAGGTGACAGACACCCCCTGACCTCTCCCCCGCCCGCCCCGCCCCCTCTCACGCGGTCACAAGTCTTCCTTTCTAGTGTCTGCCCCACAGTGAACCTTCACCCGGGCAGCTCCCGCTCAAACCCCCCTCCCCGAGCCCCCCAGCCCCCCGGTCTTCATAGGCTCTAACCCATAGGCTGCCTGTGCGCCCCAAGTCCTCAGGCTGGTCCCAAAGCCCTGCCCGGTCACCAGACCCAGCGCCCCTCCATGCCCCTGGGGAGGGCTCAGAGGGCTGGGGCAGGAATGAAATGTCAGAGACACAACAGCCACATCCCCTGTCCCACCCCTGTCCCACCCCTGGCACCTGCGGGGTGACCTGAGCCCATGGGGAGGGCTGTGCAGCTGCTCATCTCCAGACAGGCAGGGAGCTGTGATCCTGAGGCTTCCGGGAGCAAAATGGGGGTCCCAAGGCCCAGACTTAAGCCAGCGAGGACCCACTTAGGCGCATTCACAGACACGCACCGCCTCGAGCCCTGCCGCCCTCCAATTACGTACCTTCTAATTACCCCAAACCGGCACTTACCCCCGTCTAGCCCCCAAGCCTCTGCTTACAGCCGCCGCCCCAGCCCCACACTCAGCCAGACTGAGCCCCCAAAGGGCCTGCCCAGTCAGGCAGCCGCCAGCCAGCTGCCCCCCTCAGCACCCCCTTCCCACCATCTCAGCCCTGAGCCTTGGAACCTCCATCACAAAGCAAGTTCAGACCAAAGCCCCTGGGCTGGGTGGGGGTCTGGGAAGGCTCCATCCCCACCCCCTGCTGGTCCTGGAGGCCAAGCAGTCGGTGACTTCCCAAAGCCTGCACCTCCCATGGCTTCTCAGAGAGGGCAGGAGGGCAGACCGAGGCCCTGGGAAGCGCAGTGCCCACAGCCAGGGGCCTCTCCGCCTGCCTCCTGCTCCCGGCAGAAGAAGCCCTCGAAGCCCTCGGGGGTCTCAGGGGCAGAGAAGGAAGTGAGCTTGGAGGTCACTCCTCCTAGAGCAGAGCCTCCTCGC